GAGAGTTTAGGGAAACCCAGGGGTTACAGGGAACCTGGCTAGCAGGTGGGGAGTGGGAGGAAAAAGGACCTGTGGGGCTATGCCTTTGTTAAGGTGCATGGGTATTACCACTTAGGCTTTACCTTGGTGATTGTTGACTGGCTCATTTAAAGAGAATGTGGGAAGTAGGAAAACTTAAGTGACTCTTGTTGATGATCAGATTTTATTGGGTTCACCAGCTATGGGATGTGTTGGGTTTTGGGTCAGTAGGATGAGGAGCAAGTATGCTACATCATAACAAATCACAAAGAGAGAGAAAAGGATGGGATATGGCTGTGTTTCAACCAACCCATGTCAGGACTAAAACTGGATGCTGAGGCAGAAACTTATTTTTTTTTTTTTGTATCAGACATTGAACCCAGTGGTGTTTAGCCACTGAGCCACATCCTCAGCCTTTTTTACTTTTTATTTTGAGACAGGATCTTACTAGGTTGCTTAGTGTTTCATTAAATTACTGAGTCTGGCTTTGAAGTTGTGATCCTCCTGCCTCAGCCTCCTGAGCCACTGGGATTATGGGTATATGCCACAGCGCCTAGACTATGTCAAATTTATGACAATCATATATATGGTTTACAAACATGTTCTACCATTCTGTGGTATTTTCACTTTATTGATAGTGTCCTTTAACAAATATATACACTTTTTAAAGATAGAAGTGGCAAGATCTTAGAGTAGATGTTTCCAGTTTTTAGTTGTTGAATATCATGTTAGCTGTGGGATTTTTATATAAAACCTATATTATTTTGAAATAGCTTCCCAGTTTGTTGAGAATTTATATCATGAAAGGGTACAGAACTCCATAAAATGCTTTTTCTGCGTTTATTGAGATAATCGTGATTTTTTTATCCAATGTACTATAATATGGTTTATCATATTGATTGATTTTCATATGTTGAACCATCCTTGGTTACCAGAGAATTGCATTAGTGTTCTTGTCTATTGTGTTCTTGAAAGAGATGGTTTCAAGCAAGACACAAAACATAATGAAAGTATAGCAACATTTATTAAGATAAAAGCCATCCCCAAGGAAGACAGTGGGTTGTCTCAAAGAGATCTACAATTCACTTCTTTGTGAACTTAGTTTTATTGGAGTAGAGAAGTTGTTAGAAGATTCTGCTTAAGTATCACCTCTTTGCTCTGGATTGACAGATTACATTCCTAAACCTCTACTGCACATGTTTTTATCTGTAGGTATCTAAGTGAAACCCAGGGAAGAAAAATTACAGTTACAATGATATCATAAAGCTATGTTAACAATCTAAGGGCAACTCTCAGTCATCCTGGCCCTGCTGGCAAGTGCTAATTGGAACTTTTTTTTACAGAATTTATGGTCCATTGGCTCCGGTCTTAATCATCCTGCTTTCCTAGATCTGGGTATCTCTGTGTTGTTTGTGCAGAGTCTTAAGATGATTTTAGCAGTTAGGCCCTTCTGAGAAAACATATCCTCGTTATCCTCTGGTTCTTAACCCCTGAGTCCATCTATCTTCCTCCTGTTGTAAAATGGGTAATTTACAGAGCTGAGATCAGGCAAGGGTCCTGAAGTAGCTATCTTGTCAGAACTTGTGGTGCCACTCAGAGATATAGATTAACTGATTTACCCTGTACTAAGTATTTTCTTAAACCCCTGACCCACTGCTCATGTGTAACTGCTACTTAACATTTGCCTCCCAGTGATAAATCCCACTTGATCATGGTATATGACCCTTTTAATGTGATGCTCAAACACAATGGAAAATCTTTATGACATTGATCTTAGCAATGATTTCATGCATATAACACCAAAATCACAGGCAACAAAATCAAAAAATGAACAAGTGGTACTACATCAAACAAAAATCTTCTGTATAGCAAAGCAAACCTATGGAATTAAGAAAATATTCACAAACCCAATATTTGATAAGGAGTTAATCTGCAAAATATATAAGGAACTCTGAACAACTCAAGTAAAAAAATTAACAACCCAATTTTAAAATGGTCTAAGAAATTTTTTTTTTTTTTTTTTTTTTTTAATTTTTTATTGTGGGTTGTTCAAAACATTACAAATTTCTTGACATATCATATTCCACACTTTGATTCTAGTGGGTTATGAACTCCCACCTTCACCCCATACACAGATTGCAGATTCACATCAGTTACACATCCATTGATTTACAAATTGCCATACTAGTGTCTGTTGTGCTCCGCTGCCTTTCCCATCATCCACCCTCCCCCCTCCCCACCTCTCCCCTCCCCTCCCCTCCTCTCTCTCTACCCCCTCCACTGTATAACCCTGAGGGTCTCCTTCCATTACCGTGCAATTTACCTTCTCTCTCCCTTTCCCTCCCACCTCTCATCCCTGTTAAATGTTAATCTTCTTCTCCTGTTCTTCGTCCCTACTCTGTTCTTAGTTACTTTCCTTATATCAAAGAAGACATTTGGCATTTGTTTTTTAGGGATTGGCTAGCTTCACTTAGCATAATCTGCTCTAATGCCATCCATTTCCCTGTAAATTCTATGATTTTGTCATTTTTTAATGCAGAGTAATACTCCATTGTGTATAAATGCCACATTTTTTTTATCCATTCGTCTATTGAAGGGCATCTAGGTTGGTTCCACAGTCTTGCTATTGTGAACTGTGCTGCTATGAACATCGATGTAGCAGTGTCCCTGTAGCATGCTCTTTTTAGGTCTTTAGGGAATAGACCAAGAAGGGGAATAGCTGGGTCAAATGGTGGCTCCATTCCCAGCTTTCCAAGAAATCTCCATACTGCTTTCCAAATTGGCTGCACCAATCTGCAGTCCCACCAGCAATGTACAAGTGTACCCTTTTCCCCACATCCTCGCCAGCACTTGTTGTTGTTTGACTTCCTAATGGCTGCCAATCTTACTGGAGTGAGATGGTATCTTAGGGTGGTTTTGATTTGCATTTCTCTGACAGCTAGAGATGTTGAGCATTTTTTCATGTACTTGTTGATTGACTGTATGTCCTCCTCTGTGAAGTGTCTGTTCAGGTCCTTGGCCCATTTGTTGATTGGGTTGTTTGTTCTCTTATTGTCTAATTTTTTGAGTTCTTTGTATACTCTGGATATTAGGGCTCTATCTGAAGTGTGAGGAGTAAAGATTTGTTCCCAGGATGTAGGCTCCCTATTTACCTCTCTTATTGTTTCTTTTGCTGAGAAAAAACTTCTTAGTTTGAGTAAGTCCCATTTGTTGATTCTAGTTATTAACTTTTGTGCTATGGGTGTCCTATTGAGGAATTTGGAGCCCGACCCCACCGACTGTAGATCGTAGCCAACTTTTTCTTCTATCAGACGGCGCGTCTCTGATTTGATATCAAGTTCCTTGATCCATTTTGAATTCACTTTTGTGCATGGCGAGAGAAAGGGATTCAGTTTCATTTTGTTGCATATGGATTTCCAGTTTTCCCAGCACCATTTGTTGAAGATGCTATCCTTCCTCCATTGCATGCTTTTAGCCCCTTTATCAAATATAAGATAGTTGTAGTTTTGTGGATTGGTTTCTGTGTCCTCTATTCTGTACCATTGGTCCACACGCCTGTTTTGGTACCAGTACCATGCTGTTTTTGTTACTATTGCTCTGTAGTATAGTTTGAAGTCTGGTATCGCTATACCGCCTGATTCACACTTCTTGCTTAGCATTGTTTTTGCTATTCTGGGTCTTTTATTTTTCCATATGAATTTCATGATTGCTTTCTCTATTTCTACAAGAAATGCCATTGGGATTTTGATTGGCATTGCATTAAACCTATAGAGAACTTTTGGTAATATCGCCATTTTGATGATGTTAGTTCTGCCTATCCATGAGCAGGGTATATTTTTCCATCTTCTAAGATCTTCTTCTATTTCTCTCTTTAGGGTTCTGTAGTTTTCATTGTATAAGTCTTTCACCTCTTTTGTTAGGTTGATTCCCAAGTATTTTATTTTTTTTGAAGATATTTTGAATGGAGTGGTTGTCCTCATAAGAAATTTTTTTTGATACTAGTATTGAACCCAGGATGCTTAACAACTGAGCCACATCACCAGCTCTTTTTTATATTTTATTTAGAGACAGGGTCTCACTAAGTTGCTGAGGCTGGTTTTGACTTGTGATCCTCCTGCTTCAGAGCCTGTCAGGATGGCTATTCTCAAAGACAAAAGACAACAAACCAGGAACAGTGAACTATGCCTGTAATCACAGTTACCTAGGAGACTGAGGCAGGAGAATTGCTTGTTCAAGGCCACTTTGGGCAACTTAGTGAGACCCTGCATCAAAATTTAGACTAGGGAAATAGCTCAGTGGTAGAGTGCCCCTGGGCTCAGTCCCAGTATGTTAAAAAAGAAAAAAAAAAAAAAAAAAAAAAACCAGACAACAAATGTCAGTGAGGATGTGGAAAAATTGGAAACTCTGCACATTGTGGGTAGGAATATAAAAAGTTGCAGCCACTATGGGAATTCTTCAAAATTAAAATTAGGGCTGGGGTTGTGGCTCAGCAGTAGAGCACTTGCCTAGCATGTGTGAGGCCCTGGGTTTGATTCTCAGCACCGTACATAAATAAATAAAGTCCGTTGACAACTAAAAAAATAGTTTAAAAAATTATTTCATGTGTATTTTTAAACAGGTGAATAAGCTATAGAGATTTGTTCCACATTATACCTGTAGTCAGTAATAATGTATTGTACACAACATGTTTGTTAAGAGGGTAGACTTCATGTAAGCATTATCAAAACAATAAAAAATTTCCGTAGGGACCAAATATTTGCATACTTACAAAGGATAATGCAGGGAAATTTTTTTTTCTCCAAAAATAAACATGAAAGCACAAACAAGGGGAAAAAAAAAGATGACAAAAATCCAGGATTGGAAAATTAACTTTGCCAAGATCTGGATATTTCTGCTATATGTATTAAAATAAGCAAACTCTGAATTGAATCACATAATATATTCAAAACTATATGATAATGAAAATAAAATTCAAAAAGGCATAAGTGAGTGATAGTTTTATTGGAAATTTTGTGAAGGTTATGTATGAAGTCATTTCAGATAACAACTTTAGCTGCCCTGCTTACAACTAAAGGCTTCAACTGCCACATTTAAACTTCAGTGCAAAACATCTACATTTGGAACTTTAGTCTCAGGCCTGGAGCAGCTGTGAAATGGAAGTTACCACTCCATTCTAGTCCATAGATATCGATATATTCCCCTTCACCTTCCACCCTGCAATAGTGAAAAAGAAGTTTGTGTGTTAATCAAGATGAAGAATCTACAGACTGTCTAGCACATTACCCCTATGTGTGAAGCATATTTTTCCATTTTCAAATTTGGATTTAAAAATGCAGAATTCTCCTTTCATATTGTATTTTTTTTAAAAAAAACACTGTCCCAAACAAACACAGTCATTATAAAAATTTTGATGTCCAAAATTTTAGGATCACATAAGCTCACTTCATATAAAATCAAAACATGAAAAATTTATATTGGTTATCTGGCTTAATTAGTTCACTTATTTATTTAACAAATATTTCTTGATCACCAACTAGGTTTGAGGTGATATACTCTGTGCTGTTTTGTTTTGTTTGTTTGTTTTTGGAGTGGGGGGTACTGGAGATTGAATTTAGGGGAACTCAACCACTGAGCCACATCCTCAGCCCTATTTTGTATTTTATTTAGAGACAGGTCTTACTGCCTTGCTTTTGGTGAGGCTAGCTTTGAACCCCGATCCTCTTGCCTTAGCCTCCTGAGTTGCTGGGATTACAGATGTGTGCCATCACACCCTGCTGTACTGGTATTTTCCAGGGCACTTTGGAGTAGTAAAAATGCACTCACACAAACAAACAGGCTTTATCCTATAGGTTAGATATTTTTTCTCCTTTTATCAGTTGGAAAAGGTAATCTGTTATTGTCACAAAATTAGAGTCAAAATAGGTGAACACTTGCCAGCCCACCTCAAAATGTATTCATATCAACCACCTCAATTCTAGAAATAAGATAGCAGTATTTATAAATGAACTTGAACTTGAACCTCCAGCTAGCATGGCATGGTATTCAGTGTGTGATCAAGCTTGCAAAGCTTCATTCATGTTTTATTTCACTTTTATGTTCCTATAAGCATATGCTCAGAAAGGGCAATAATGGGTATGCTTCTACAAATTGAAAATTAACTAATTTTGCTCAGATTTTAAAAATTAGCCTAATAAGATTAGGGATTTAGCACAGTGGTAGAACACTTGCCTAGCGTACATGAGGCCCTGGGTTCAATAACCAGGATTGCAGGGGAAAACAAAATTAGCCTACTGAAAAGGTATGCACATGTCAGGTCAAAATGAAATAAATAATTATGAAATTACTCCCAAGGCTACTTTAAAAATGCATCAAAATATTTCAAGTGAAAATTATTATTGGCCTAAATTTTCTTAATAATTGCAATAAGTTTTCTATCTGCAAACTGACTACAAAAAATTCTATACTAATAGAGAAGTAAAGGGGATAAACAAATAGTCTAACGAATTATCATTAAAAATGATATTCTCTTTTTGAAGCTTATGATAGTCCTAGCCTCTCTTAAAATACTCCCAATCCCCTAAAATAACAATTCTTAAAACTGAATACATTATCAAAGAATATTTAGCATTAACTAAATATAATATTTAAGCAAAGACTATTTTTTAATTATAGTAATTTTTAAATTTAAGCTTACCTATTTTCATTGAAATTTCCAGTGTACTTTGCCCCAGTTGGGAATGTGTAAGTTCCTAATCCATGAAACATATTGTCCTTAAATTGTCCTTCATATACTGCTCCTGAAAAATGCTCAAGTTTTCCAAAACCATTCATCTGTTTGTAACAAAGAAAATTCCCTCAGAAACAAAAACTTCAGTTTCCCCCAGCCTTTAAAAAATATATTTATGTACATATAAATCTAACATTAAGTCATGATGTTTGTGTCACCCTTTATTTCCATAAAAAGAAACAAATTTGCTAGGTGTGATGGGGCATGCCTATACTCCCAGCAACTTGGGAGGCCAAGGCAGGAGGATCACAAGTTCAACACCAACCTAGGCAATCTAGTGAGACTCTGTCTTAAAATAAAAAATAAGAAGGACTGGTATGTAGCTCAGTGGTAGTGTGTCCTGGGTTCAATCCCTAGTCCTGGAAAAAAAAAAAAGGACAAATTTATTTGTCCTTCCTCTGTATCTGTCTGTGAAGCCTACTGAATCAAATGTTCTCATATTGAGTCATTTGAACACATGGGAGTCCATGATGATTTATTAGGATCCTCAAGATATATTAAATATATCAAAAATCTTCAAGTTTCGTTAGCTCAGGAATAGTATGGTATCACTAGTTCAGGCAATAGTAGAGAGCCATATAGAATGTGAATTTGGATTCAAGTAAACCTGAGTACACATTCTTGTTTTATCACTTACTAGCTGGGCAAGAAATCTGAGTCTGATTTCCCTACTCAAAATGAGAGTGTTAATGGCATCTATCTCAGGAGATTGTTATTAGGATTAAGTGAGAAAATTATTAATGGGTTTTACTTTACTTCATAAACAAGAGATGAGAAAGATACACGATTAGCTCTCTACATGAGTTTAATATTAGGCATATGTTAAATATAATTATTTATTATTTTTATTGTTTGGTCTACTCATTATATACATATATATATTTTATTAATGGTAAAATGTATGGAATCATCTAGCCTATAGGATTATTCATTTACAATCAGTATTAAAAACAATAATAGATCAACAAGTATATGAAAAAAATGTTCAACTTCTAGTAATTAGAGAAATGCAAATCTCACTCCAGTCAGAATGGCAATTATCAAGAATACAGTAATAATAAGTGTTGGCGAGGATGTGGGGGAAAACATATATTGTTGGTAGCACTGCAAATTGGTGCAACCACTCTAAAAAGCAGTATGGAGATTCCTTAGAAAACTTGGAAGGGAACCACCATTTGACCCAGCTATCCCACTCCTTGGTCTTTACCCAAAGGACTTAAAATCAGCATTCTATATTGAAAAGCCACAAAAATGTTCATAACAGCTCAAATTACAATAGCTAAACTGTGGAACCAACCTAAATGTCCTTCAATAGATGAATGGATAAAGAAACTGTTGATGTATATTCACAATGGAATATTATTCAGCATTAAAAGAGAATAAAATTATGGCATTTGCAGGTAAATGGATGGAGTTGAAGAATATCATGTTAAGCAAAGTAAACTAATCCTAAAAAACCAAAGGCTGAATATTCTCTCTGATAAGTGGATGCTGATTCATAATGGGGACAGAGCATGGGAAGAATGGAGGAACTTTGGGCAAGGGGTGAGAGGGGAGGGGAGGGGGTATGAGGGGAGGGGGTATGAGGGCAGGAAAGATGGTGGAATGAGATGGACATCATTACCCTAGGTACATATATGACTGCATGTATGTGACTCTACATCGTGTACTACCAGAGAAATGAAAAGTTGTGCTCCATTTGTGTACAATGAATTGAAATGCATTCTGCTGTCATATATACCTAATTAGAATAAATAAATAACAAATAGAAAAAACAACAATAAACTGGGCACAGTGGCTAACACTTGTAATCCCAGATACTTGGGAGGCTGAAGCAGGAAGATCCTAAATTGGAGGCCAGCCTGAGCAATTTAGTGATGTCCTGTCTCAAAATAAAAAATAAAATGTCTTGGGAATGTAGCTCAGTGCTTTCCTGGCATGTGTGAGGGCCTGGGGTCAATGCCAACAAACAACAAAAAACCTCCAAACAACAATAATACCTTGTCATCTTTCCAGTTTCCTGTGTAGACAATCCCATTAGGAGTGGTATGAATACCTATTCCATTTCTCTCATAAATTCCAGAAGATGTTCGTATACATTCACCATCTAAACAAGGGAGAAATACTAAAGATTTTTAAATAGGACTTGTGTTTGACTAAAAATTATAGTATTAATGTCTGGGGAAAAGACATGTGGGTTGTTTTTTTTTTTTTTTTGTCTTGTTTGCTTTTTTTGGCTTCCCAGCATTAAAACCAATGACAGTAGAGATAAGACAATACATGAACTCAGAACATCTTGTAACCACTGAGACCCAGGACCAAAAAGACTGGCAGATTCTATAAATTTCCATACAATCTAGACATAATGATGGAGTTTTGATTTTAAATCTGTTCATCTATTAGGATTTCTGTTATTTTACTTGAAATAATATCCCAATAGCAGTTTCATACAATGTGAGTCTCATTTTTTTATTCTTAGGCTATTTAATATTCTGCAGAGGAAAAGTAATTGAAATGTATGCTTACCATACTTGTCTCCATTGGGAAATATAAAATTTATCTTGTACACTTCTGAAGTTGCTTTAAAAGATTTAAAAAGAGTCATATAAGTTTAAATATTTTGTGTCATAAGACCTATAAATGAGGGTTAAGCACTACCTAAATAGACTCAATTCACAATAACACAACTATATTACTTGGTAGTTTCATGTCTAGTGTAGGGTTTTGGGGAAATAAATAATTTTGACTAAATGAGTGATCATTTAATATAACAACTTTATTAATGTGTAATTTACATATCACAAATTAATCCTTTAAAGTATATAATTCAATATTTTAGTATATTGAGTATATAGAGTTGTGCAACTATCACCACAATCTAATTTTAGAATATTTTAATTACCCCCCCCCAAAAATCCTGTGCCCACCAGTACTCACTCACCATTCCCCTCAAAACTCCATTCCCCATTACCCACTAATCTACTTACTATCTCAATAGATTTGCCTATTTATTTCTTAGAAATGGATTCAATAAATGGTCCTTTGTGACTGGCTTCTTTCACTTAACACGTTTTCAAGTTTCATCAGTTTGTACCAAGTATCAAAACTTTGTTCTCTGTTCCTTCTTATTAACAAATATATTGTATAGAAATAGCATATTCATCACTTGATGTACATTTAAGTTGTTTCTAGTTTGAGGCTGTTAAGAATAATGCTGCTATAACATTGATGTACAAATTTATGTTCAACAGAGGTAAGGTGGTGAGGAATATTTGATTAGGTAATAGGAGGAAATATAAAATATAATAAGTGAGGAAGGAGGGAAGTCTAAGTAGAGTGAGTCTGGAATGGAGACCAGGTTTTAAAAAGGAAAAAAAGAAGACCACAAGACTGAGGGGAATCTCTGTCTCTGAACCCTGGAACACTTAGTAGACTAAATGCAAAATGTAAAAAAATATATTTTTTTCCAAAACTGAAGAAAATATATAGAGAATAAATGAACTCTAACTTCTTGGACAGTAGACTCTATTAAGATGTTAGTCAAAGTGTGGCCTATGCGTAAGAATCGGCTTGAATATCTCTAAGTTCCTAGGCCCTACCTCACATCTACTGAATCTCTGCATAGGGTAAGGGAACAGATAGTTTTAATTTAAAAGGTAACTTAAGTGCCAACTGAGAAAGGTTGGAGGCTCATCTCAAGAGTTAATAGCACAATAGGTTTAAGACTTTAAAATACTCTAACATCCTCAGAGAGAGAAGGAGGAACAGGCAGCTAAAAATCAATTAGCAAGGAACTTAATAATAAAACTGGTGAAATAAAACTTTCAGAAGGATTGGATAGTAGAATGGATTTAATTGAAAAGTAAATTAGTGAACTGGTAGATTAGGTCGAAATTTCTCACAGAAAGTAGCACAAAGAAAAATTCTAAGATAATGGAAAATAGATCCAAAATATTTAATGCCAGTTTAATAAAATTTCTAGAGGGAAAGAATAAGGGGAGGACACAATATTTGAATAGTCAAAAACTTGTTAGACCTGAAGAAAATGAGTGCTTGGACTGTAAATGAATACTAAGTAAACTGCACAGGTAGAAAATTTGAAGTAAAATTCAACAACACAGAGACAAATGCCAATTAGGCAAACAAAAACCAGATTACCTATAACAAAGTAAAAAAAATAAGAATCAGACTGACATAAGCAATAGTAGATATTAAAAACAAAAATGTGATGTATTTAAATCTTTGAGGGGGGAAATTATTTGAACCCAATGTTCTACCCTCAGCAAAAATATCAGTCCAAAGTGATGGAAACTAAACTATTTTTTGGACGTGGCAGAATTCAGAATTTAGTACTCACACTTTGTCCTTGAAAGAAATACAAGGAAATAAACTCTAATAGGGAGAAAAATGAATCCAGGAGAAAATAAGAAAACAAAAACAAAATGAGGAACAAAGCAATTAGTAAAAATGCATTTTTATTTTATTTTTGAGAAAAAAATACTTTCTGTTAAGTAATATTATTTTATGTCATTAGGAATTTTATTATTATTAACAACCAGGGATTGATTTAATCCCAGGGGGTGTTTAACCTCTGACCCACATTCCCAGTCCTTTTTAATTTTATGTATGTATTTGTTTATTTATTCTAATCAGTTATACATTACAGAATGCTTTTTGATTATTCAACACAATTGGAGCATAATTTTGGACTTCTCTGGTTGTACCCAAAGTAGGGTCACACCATTCCTGTGACCCTACTTTGGGTATTTATTTATTTATTTATTCTAATCAGTTATACATTACAGAATGCTCTTCAATTATTGAACACAACTGGAGCACAATTTTGGACTTCTCTGGTTGTACCCAAAGTAGGGTCACACCATTCCTGCAATCATACAATGTACCTAGGGTAATGATGTCTGTCACATTCCACCATATTTCTCACCCCCATCCTTTTTTGTATTTTATTTAGAGACACGGTCACAGTGAGTTACTTAGGGCCTTGCCAAGTTGATGAGGCTGGCTTTGAACTTGTAATCTTACCTCAGCCTCCAAAGCTGCTGTGATTACAGGCATTCTGCACCCAGTTTAGGAATTTATTATTAAGAAAAACTTTTAAGGGCTGGGGCTGTAGCTCAGTGGCAGAGCGCTTGCCTAGCATGTGTGAGGCACTGGGTTCCACCCTCAGCACAACATAAAAATAAAGAAATTCTGTCCATCTACAATTATAAAAAAAATGTTTTTAAAGAATAACTTTTAAAATAGACTATAATTAGAATTCTGATAACAATATGGAAGTGCTGTGAGGAGTAGAGCGCAATCTTGCTGGAATTCTGACCTTGTTTGGGATTAAATATAGACATCAATTACACTAAATCTTAGAAGAATAAAAATTTAACTATATTTGTTCATTTTTTCCCAGTCATTCTGATTTGGCTGTAGAGGTAAACAGATATATGTCTTCAAAATTTCCAAGAGGACAGGGACACAGAATTGCTTTCTGTGTTTAATGATCTAGAGATATCCTTGTAAAAGCTCCAGCAGCAATACTGTACTTTTTTCCCTGAAACACACATCTCTTCTTTGGCTGGTTAACTCATCCTGGAGGAGTTGGAAAGTATAGTACAGTATTTAGGGGTTCAGGCATGCCCTGGCATTAGTCCACGTAGGTGAATGGGACTCCCCCTTTATAGTTGGACAAATTAGTTATGTCTCAATTTCCTCATCCTTAGATTAAATGAGCTAATCCACGTAAAGCACTAGGCCAGTGTCTAACTCTGTAGGTATTAGCCATTGTTATCCTGTAGCACCAGCTCAAGAATTGTCAGTCTCAAAGTTTTCTCGTTTCTCTTTCCCCCCAGATTCTTTTAAGAAGCCCCCACAGTACTTAGGGCTCTATTAAAACAATGCTTTCGTGTCAGAATTCCCTATCACACCCATCTCCTCAGGACAGGACTCACGAGTTAATCAAATCTTTTTTGTCCCCCTCCTGAGTTCAGTGTTTAGTATTAATATGAACTGTCTATTTAGCGAATGAATGGCACTTAGGAAGGGTCATTAAATGTCTACTAAGCAGAACACTAAAAGTAATCGTAAAAGACACGGAACTATTTTCAATTGCCCTTAGAAAGTTCCACATTCGAAACTTTGGAATGTTGGAACTGGACGGAACCTCAAAGATCGACGCCATCCAGCACCATGAAGGAAACTGAAGCCCAGAGAGGCTGGCTCTTGCCTAAGGTGTCACAACAACGAATTCGGGCTGAATCAATGTTAGAATCCCCCCCACACCGCAGTGTACACAGATTTGTCACACCCGGTCGGGAGTTACCGGGCCGAGCTCTGGCTCCCAAAAATTCTATTTACAGGTGCCCTTCCCCGCCAGGGCCTTGGGAGGAAGGGCACTCACTTGCTGGAGAGAGGTCGGAGAAACTTTCTGGACTCTGCGATTCCCCTTGGGCCGCCAGCTCTGCGGTATGGAGGGAGCAAAGCGCTAGCCCACACAGCTCCCAGAGCGACTCGGTTGCTTGGGCAACCGGGCAACCTCTCACCCGGAAGCGAATATGCGATGAGCCAATCAGGAGGCGCCGAAGCTGTGCAGCCGCAGCTGGGCCACCGCGGAGCCGCTCCAGGTGAGGTCCATGGGGGTGGCTGAGTCCAGCTGCGACCCCTTACCCCTGGGCTCCGCCTCCCGACAGCCGGGAAGCATAGCTAACCTCCCTTAAGGCGGATCAGTGGTGTGTGTTTGTGTGCGTGGTTTGTGCGTCGCCCCAGTTGTCAGTGTGCGGCCGCCTCCCTGCTCCGAGAGTGGTCAGCATCTGAGGAGCATCCTGTCCCGCTGTGCCCCAGCCTGGTTTGCCTGGCACCAGTGTATCAGGACCAGCAGGATCCCAGGCCCTGGGACCGGACCAGGTGGGCTGCAGCGAAGGTTCTCCACGCTCAGGCTTGAGGCGGGAGAGCGGATTCAGGCTTGGAGCGGGGTTGGATTGGAGGGGCTCAGACTCGGCTTCCTGTCTCTGTCTCCATTTCGAGTCGAGTTTAACTATTTGGGGAAAGGATTAGGAGCGAAGAACGGTACGTGTCTGGGTAGCTGAATGAAGCTGGATGATTCTTTCTGGTCCGAGATTTGCATGAGATAAAAACGGAGTGTCTTCAGTTTTCTGTGCCCAGTTTGGGGCGATGCTGTACGTGGGAGCCAAACTTGGGTGTGAAACAAAGGATAGTCTTCGAGCCAAACTTAGGTGAAGAAAGATGGAATCTTCCAAGGCTAGATGGAATAGAATCGTGGAATCTAAGCCTGTGGATTGTACAACATATTTCTTATTCTCCCAAAATGTCTGGGAAGAGAGTGATATTGGATACAACGACAGCCAGAAAGTCTTTATTCAAAATTTTATGTGCAAAATTTCAGATCAAGTTGTAAAGGTAACATTTTCTGGATTGGTGTGAGACAAATTGTTTTAAATCAGTTTAGTATCTTGCTTTTTTCCTAATGTTTCTCAGTACATAAATTTACCTGGACTGGGTGATTTTTTAGGTAAAGTTCTGATTTATCTGTTTGATTTGTATATCCTTTCCAATTTTTCTAAGTTTTATTAACAATAGATAATTATTATTGCATAACATTAATAAATTCAGTTTGTCCCATTGTTTTGATCACCTGTTAATCTTTTAACTTTTTGTGTTCTGTTTTTATAGAACTTATAATTTGGCTTCTTATACTATTCTTATCTACAAGGAATCTGGAGTCAGGGATTTGTAATGATTGAGTCTTCAAATTCAGATTGGAAGGATGTGTTAATCATGTTTTTATTCTCTATGATGTTTTGACATTTTGAGGTCCTACCTGGTGAGGAAGAAACTGCCCTTTCCAAGGTTAGCTAACAAAGGACCAGAGTCCATACTCCCCAACACTTCCTTTTCCAAGCTCACACATCAAGCCCATATTGTCCCTTCCCTAAATCAATCTAGGACCAGATACTGGACAATTAGGGACAGCCCTCCCTGATGCCTCCCAGGGCCTACCTAGAATTATTCAAACTAGCTAGTCCTTAACTGTTTGTCCTGCCTGGCTTTTCCTGCAGAAGCCCCAAGAAAGGCTGTGGCCTGATGAAAGAAAAATTGGGGGTTGCCCTAATTTAATTATAAGGGCCAGAGGATGGAGGGGGAAGGAAATAATGGAAAGTAATCAGTTATCAAAAGACTGTTTATTTTAAAACTTTGACTCAAATCCCATCATGGCCAGCCACTGTACCCTGTTTGTGTATGAACTTCCCAGATTGTTAGCCCCACACAGTCCAGAAAAGTACTTTTCTTTGCCTTGATAAACTTTTTTTGTTTTTGTAATAGAGATCCCTTCGTCTTGAGAGTCTTGGCTTCACAGCCTAGGCCTTCCCTTTGTTCCTTTCCACCAAACTGCTGCCTGGCACAGCATGCTTTCTGGTTCTAGAGGATTTATGAGTCAGATTAAACTTTTGTTTCAGTGTCATTGACCTCTCCATGTGGCCAATTGGTCATCCTTATAAATTAACAACTGGGCACAAATCAGAGAGAAGCCAAACTACCTTTAAATTTTGGATTAAGATAAAAGGGGTGTGTGTGTGTGTGTGTGTGTGTGTATGTATGTATGTGCATGTGAATGAGAAGTTATCATGGAAGAATCTCAGCTTCAGAGTCAAATGGATTTATTCAAACCGTGATTCCAGGCTTTGCTTATATAGTTGGTGCTATTAGGCAAATCACATATGTTCCTTGTTTTGGTTTCCTCCTCTGTAAAAAATAGAAAATTATATTTATCTGACAATCTTTTGGAGTATTAAGTACAATAACCCTACCTTTCCCTTCAATACAGACTCATATATCCAACTACCTTTTATACATTTCCATTAAAGTATCAAATCAACCTCTCAAATGTTAACAAAGCCAGTCTAATCTCATTATACTCGCCTCAAATTCATTCCTCCCCAATATTCCTCTTCTAAGTACATGAAACTACTATTTATCCATTTAGCTCATATCCAAAAGTCTTATCATAATCTTGATTCTTTTCTCTCATACCACTTATGTAATTTATCTACCTTTAAAATGCGTTCAGAACTTGGACCACTTAACTCCACTGCATCTATCCTAGTTCAAACCACTGTATTTTTTCTCTATCTTGAACAACTGTATCAGTTTCCTAACTGACCTCTTTGGTTTTTCTTCACCCACCCCAACTTTATTTGTCAAATAGGAGTTAGAATAATTGTTTTAAAACATAAGTCAAGCTTTTGTCCCAGCTCTTTAGTAGTGACTTCCTATCATATTTATAATAAAACCCAAAATCCTTCCCTGGACTTATGACCTTTTGTACTCTCTGGCCTCATCTCCTTTCCTCATTTCATACTTCTTATTATTCATCCATACCAGCACATACCCTTTTTTAAATTTTTTTTTTTAGTCTTAGATGGACACAATATCTTTATTTTGTTTATTTATATGTGATGCTGAGGATCGAACCCAGTGTCTCACCCGTGCTAGGCAAGCACTGTACCACTGAGCTACAACCCCAGCCCTATCCTGAACTCTTAAATCTATCATTGCTTCTACTTAGAATGTTCCTTTCACGAGTATTTCATGGCTTATTCTCCCAATTTGTTCAGATATCCATTCAAACGTGATCTCAGAGAGTCCTTAAACAACTACTCTGTAACAAAAGCCTCAAGAGGTTGTTTTTGTGTTTGTTTTTCCTTGATAACACCTGTTCTGGTTTGAGTATGATTTGACCACTGGGAAACTCAGATTGAAATTTGGTTGCCATTTTGATGATATTGGGAGATGGGGCCTTTAAGAGGTGGTTAGGTCATTAAGAGAGATTATGCTTTTCTTGAGGGAATGGGATCATTCTCATGATAATAGGTTATTATAAAGCAAGGCAGCCCCCCGTGTTGTGTCTCTTCCTCACATACACACTTGCCCTTTTGTTTTTCCTCCATGTTATGATACAGCATGAGGCCCTCACCAGAATCAGAGCAGATGTCGGCATCATATTCTTCTACTTCCCAACCTCCAAAACTGTGAGCCAAAATAAACCTTTATTCTATAAATCCATCAGCCTCAGGTATTGTGCTATAGCAACAGGGAACAGACTAAGACAGTACTTATTTGATACTATATATCTATTTATTGTCTGTTTTATCCTTTAAAGGATATTTCTTCATGAGGCAGGAATTTTGTCTTCACTGTTATATTCCCAGGATCTGATATACAAGAAATGGCTAGATGAATATTTCATTGTTCATTGTTTATATATGTTCATTCACATAACATTTCTGCCTGATATTAACCTAGCAACTCCACCTTTCTTGTGGTTTCTGTTTGTATAATTTGTATTTTTCCATCCTTTTACTCCTGATTTATTTAAACCTTTAAATTTATAGTGTCTCTCCTATAGATAACATATAGTTAGTTGGGTTTTTCCTTCCAAGATGATAAACAAAAAAAAAAAAAAGAAGAAGAAGAAGGAACAGTGGCCATGCCAAAAAGGACCAAGGGCCATGACCACATGTAGCCTATTCACTGTATGAACTGCACCTGGTATGTTCCCAAGGGAAAGGCTATTAAGAAGTCCATCATTCAAAACATAGTCGAGACTACAGCTATCAGGGACATTTCCCAAGCAAGTGTCTTTGATATGCTTCTCAAGCTCTATGTGAAGTTGCCTTACTATGTGAGTTGTGCCAACCATAGCAAGGTGGTTTAGGAACTGATCTCGTGAACCCTGTAAAGACTGAACTCCCTCACCTCCACACATGTGTTTAGACCTGCTGGTGCTGCCCTATAATTTCCACCAAAACCCATGAAAGGAACTGGGTCCAATGAACTGAAGAAAAACCATTTTCTGGGGGAAAAAATAATAAAATGGAAATCAGACTTTAAAAAATTAGATATAGTTAGAATGTTTAAATCTAGCCCATCTTTTTATTACATTATTTAATCCACTTACATTTATTATTAATAATATAGTGAGGGTTACAGCTATCATTCCATTCTGCTTTTTGTTGATATACATCTCATATCTATTTGTTCCTTTCTTCCTACTTTACTGCTTTCTTTTATTCATTAAGTGAATATTTTATAATATATTTTTAGTGATTGTTCTGGGGTCTAACATATACATCTTAATTTATTGGAATCAGCTTCAGATTTGTACAAGCTTGATTCCAGCAATATACATAAGGATTAATACTATATATATTCCTTTCCCTCCTCGTGGTATAGTTTATACATATTATACCTATTAATGTTATAAACCCAACAATACACTTTTATAATTATTCCTTTAACATTTGTAGTCATTTTCTTAGCCAATACAATATTGCTCCCACCTGTCTACTCTGTACAGATATATTACACATGTATTTTATTTTTTATTCCTATGGTTATAGTTCCAACATTATATCATATACATATTATTTTATATATTTGCTTTTTAATTTTAGTACTCAGGATTGAACCCAGGGTTGCTTTACCAGTCTTTTTTTTTTTTGCTACTTAAGGATAAATCTTTATTTTTTTAGATGACATTAGTGTTTAGTTCTTTGATGAAATAAATTACTTTCTTCTCCATATGCGCACCAATTTCAGACATAAATAATATGATTTTTAATAAATGGAGAATGAAAACATAGTAACTTAAACTAGTTATTGTCATGTTTTATTTTTATTTCT